ATAAAGGTCATCATATCTTTATCCACTTGCTTGAGAGAGGCTAATCGATTAGCGGAATCATAGAGGTGTTGGATATCATTTGCGAAGATATTCTGAGCTTTTTTCCAGAAAGAGTTACATGTTTTGAAGGATCTGAGAGTGTTCAAAATATTTGGTTCTACTGATTGCCATAGTAGAGCATAAAGTTGATAATCAAGTTTTTTCCACTGTTGAGCCTGATCTTCTGGTATCTTACTTCCGTCTTCTTCTAGATGATCGTGAAACCCTTGTCCAAGGAACCAAAGTTCCACTGAAGAGGACAAGACATGTAATTTTTTCCATTTAATTTTTCAGCCGTTATCGTGGGAGTTCCGGAAAAGGAGGTTGTGGGCCCTGACGACATGTTTTAAATAATGTAGATGTAAGATGGAGACAATGGAACCTGTAAGAAAGAGAACACCCAAGATAGCTGGAAGGTTACTTGAAGGTGGTCAGAAAGTCGTCGAACGGTAGCAAAAAAAAAAAGGTGACTGGACGGGGGACTGACGGTTGCCGAAAAGTGACCGGACGGTGGCCGAAAAGTGGCTGGATGGTGATCGGAAAATGACCGGACGGTGATCGGACAGTGACCGGAAAATGGTCGGACGGTGACCGAAAATGGTCGGACGGTGGCCGAACAGGCAGAGCAGGACCAACCTGCTCTGATACCAAGTTAAGAGAGTAAAGAGAATGAAAAGAAGATTTCTAATTTTGTGGGATGCTTACTCCACTCTATGATCTCATATATATATAGGATTACAACATTTAAACAACAACTACCAACTACTAACAACCACCAACCACCAACCACCAACTACTAACTACTAACCACTAACCACTAACCACTAACTAATAATAATTCTAACAGACATGATTCACATTCAAAATCTTGAAGAGTCTGAAGTTCAGGAACCGTTTTTTTTAATCTTGACAAGTGAAGGTGCCCTAAATGTTCGTGTAATAGTTTTGAAGATAAGGATGCAACACAGGATACAAATGATTTAGTCCCAAGATAGTATAAGCCTCCAGATTCATATATGTTGCTAATCTGTCGGCCCGTACCACGTTCCTGTATAACAAAAGAGTTGGCATTAAAGGTTACCGAACAATTCAATAATTTGGTTAATTGACTTAGGGAAATGAGACTGAAGGGATATGAAGGAACAAAAAGAACAAATTTTAAGTTTAAAGACAGAGCAATGAAGACTTGACCAGTTATTTTAGAGGCTACTTTAGATCCTACTTTAGATTCGTTGGTTAATGTTATGAGATGAGGAGTTTTAGGAAATGAGAGAGAAGAGAACAATGAGGTATTACCAGATATGTGATCAAAAATACCTGAGTCAATAATCCATGAATTTTGACTTTCCACAAATTGTGAAATGCAAATTGTTGATGAATTTGGGGTTGTTGATGACTGTGCTAGACTACTGGATTTCAACCTCAAATATTTCTAATATTCTTCGTGAGAGAACTTGGGTTCAACTATTTCAGATTTGCAAATATTGACAGTCTTGTTAGGAAAACCGTGCAAAGAGTAACAATTTTCCAGGGTATGACTCATTCTCTTGCAATGAGTGCACTGAGGACGTCCTCTACCTCCACATTCTCCTTTAGTGCCGCGACTTCCTCTTCCACGAGTAGAAATCATAGCAGAAGATTCAACAAGTTCTTGATTATTTTTTCCTTTGAGAGTTGAAACACGAAGCAGTCTTGTAGTCAAACTTTCCATAGAAAGAACTTCTTATCCAGTTAAAATTTGATCTCTAACATGATCAAATTCTGAATTCATAGCCCGGAGAGTCATAACCATATAGAATTTATCCAACTTTTGCTTTATCTCCTCTAACGAATCCACCTCTAGGAACATCTTTAATTCTTCAACTACTGATTGAGAGCAATAAAGGTCATCATATCTTTATCCACTTGCTTGAGAGAGGCTAATCGATTAGCGAAATCATAAAGGCGTTGGATATCATTTACGAAGATATTCTGAGCCTTTTTCCAGAAAGAGTTACATGTTTTGAAGGATCTGAGAGTGTTCAAAATAATTGGTTCTACTGATTGCCACAATAGAGCACAAAGGTGATGATCAAGTTTTTTCCATTGTTGAGTTTGATCTTCTGGTATCTTACTTCCATCTTCTTCTAGATAATCGTGAAACTTTTGTCCAAGGAACCAAAGTTTCACTGAAGAGGACCAAGACATGTAATTTTTTCCATTTAATTTCTCAGTCATTATAGTGGGAGTTCCAGAAAAGGAGGTTGTGGGCCCTGATGACATGCTTTAAATAATGTAGATGTAAGATGGAGACAATGGAACCTGTAAGAAGGAGAACACCCAAGATAGAATTAGATAGAGAGGGAAATATCAATTTTCACTTTGCAAGAAAACTGACGAATGGCAACAGCGGACATCTGAAGCGAAACGAAGGCCGGAAGGTCACTGGAAGGTGGTCGGAAATTCGTCGGACGATAGCAAAAAAGTGACCGGACAGGGGTCAAACGGTTGCCGGAAAGTTGTTGGAAAGTGATCGGAAAAGTGACCAGAAAAGTGGTCGGACAGTGGACGGAAAGACAGAGCAGGACCAACCTGCTCTGATACCAAGTTAAGAGAGTGAAGAGAGTTAAAAGAAGATTTATAATTTAGTGGGATGCATACCTCCTGATATGAATCACAAGGAGTGATTTAGGATCTTTAGGGATAGAATCTTGTAAGAAATTTAAGAATTTAGTGATAAGATGGAAGGAAAGAATCACTCTTTCCAAGGAAGGCAACTCACAAAGGATGTGAAAGTCCTTTGATACAGCTAAGTGTTCTTGAATCACTCAAGAACTTAGGAGAATCACTCTCACTAAGATAAAAGAGATAAACTCTAATATTTCTAAAAATAAAACTCAACTTATTATTTCTGATAACAATGATTCAGTTTATAAAGAAGTTTTGCCATGAGAGTTACAAAGATTCACTAAAGGAAAATAAATGTTAATAATGATTTATTAACTTAGAAATTGAAAACTACTTAATGACTGATTGTAACTGAAATTGTGGCAACCAAAAGTCAATCAACTATGCACCCTCTTGGTCTCCCAAAGACTGATAACTAAATTTCTAATTGGGCCCTTATTACAACTTGCAATAAAACCAAATTAAAGTCCATTAATTGATTAATTCAAAACACAATTTGGTCACCAACAATACTTGTTAAAGAGCTTCATTTGTTTCCCTTGCTCTAACCCTTATCATAGGTCATGTTTACATCACTTCCACTCTATGATCTCATATATATATATATATATATAGGATTACAACATTTAAAAAACAACCACCAACTATTAACCGCTACCTAATAACAATTCTAACAAAATTGATGCACGAGGACAAACCATAAGCATTATCACAAATACCAAAATGGTTATACTAAATCAATTCTAAACCGTTTTCCTTCACATCCTCAGTTCTCCCTATTCTCTTTGTTTTAATCAAACCCCATCTTTGGAATGGGATAGCATGACAAAACAAAACTTGCAAAATGAAATAGACGAATAGAAAGTAGATGATATAAACCACTAACATTTCCATTCTCCACCTTGACATATATACATAACTGTATATTCAGAAATAACTACATTCAATTCAAGAAGATTACCAAGCCCAATATTCCACACAATACCCCATAACATGGAACTACCTCTGGACTCCATGGTAGTTGAATTGGGATTCAAATTGTGAATAAGATATATTTTTCGAGTCACAAATCAAATCATGTAGTCAATAATAAGATTCATTATCAGTAATAAACATAATATTTATATGCATAAGAGACATACAAAAGGACAAATTCACGATCAATCACTAAACATTTTTATTTTAGTTTCTAAAATGTCTTATTTGCAAAATATATCTATTTAAATTTAATTAAAAAAAATAAAACTTCATAACATGCATCTAACTTTGAAATTTTCAATTTTACTTTTCCAATTGTTGATTAAAAGAGATAAGAAAGTCTTACATCAACAATGGTCTAATTAAAAATAACAGTTCCAACAACAATGTTAAAACTGACAGCCCAAGCCCGAACACAGTTTGTCTTGTGCTAGAACAAAAAGACTAAAGTTACTAAAGTAAAAAAGAAACCCAGTACTATGGTTTAGAGTTAGGGTAGTGAATGGGACATCTCCCTTCTCTGAGTCACTATAAAGATGCAGCCATGAGAGCAGGACAGCGAACTGAAGTAGAATTGGAGTGTGGATGGTCAAATCCAACACAATGACCCGTGGTGAAGCAGCAACATCCGACTATGTGATTAACTATTATGAGTCAGGGCGATTTGCTGGATCCGAAGTGTAAACAACAATTGGAAATTCTTTAAATACTAGAACGATTCATGTGATACATGCACGAAAACAATTCATTGTGGAGATTCCTAAAATTCTAGACCAATTCATGTGATATATGCACGAAAACAATTCATTGTGTCACATTGTAAGAATCGTATTGTGGATTGTGAAATACTAAATACTCCTTCCAGTCCTTATCATAAGAAACATTTCAGAAGAAATTGTTAGTCTTTTTTATGAGGCGTTTTATAACTTTTATACAACTTCAGATTTATTTTCTTGTTTACCTCTTTTAATTACTTTTATTGGTCTCTTTTAATTACTTTTATTGGTCTGTGTGACAATGTTAAAAGTGTCTTATAATAAAGACTAGAGGGAGTACCATGCTATACTCAAATACAAACAAAATTACATAATTTTACACAAATTAAGAATGTTAGTCAGTTCATTTAATGTTCTTGATTTCATAAAATAAAATAAACAAATACATTTTTTAAACTACCTTCAGTCATAATTATTGGAAATTGGTGCCCAAGTTTAAATATAAGGGTATTTTTGAAATAATAAAATATGATTGAGGTAGTTGGATTGGCCTGTATTAAGTCCATTAAACATGAATAATTTTTTGGCTTATATTTGAATCTAAAGGGAGTATTTAGCAAGCCCAACCTGCAAATTACACCAACAGACATTATCTCTGAAATCTGCCTTTACTATTATTAAATCATTAGCATCATTTAACAAAAAAATGGAAAACATTCCAGATTAAAATGCATTAATATGTAATCAACACTCAATAAGCCAATTGAACATTACAAATACTTGGAATCAAGCTACAACCATAATCTCACTAATACTTCAGAACTTCCAGAAAACTAAGGAACATCTATCCAAATTATGAAGCACCAGACTAAATCAAGCTAAGACCTATGAGGTAAAAACGATTAAACAAGGAATAAAATCCAAAAATAACAGTTCGAGAAAAATGAAATTACCTTGACGGCAAGAAGTCCGAGCGCGAAAGCGCTCCCCTTCTCAACCTCATGCTCGAACGGCAATGGCTTCTGGACACGGTCACTCATAGGCGGCGCCTGAAGATGCTTCACCAGCGCCGGAACCGCGTCTCCTTCAACAATCACGTTCACCACTTCCTCTGCAAACACAACCAGCACCAACCGATTCATACACACGCACATGCAACCGACAAGAGGAAACACAGAAGAAGAAACAGCACACCGCAACCGCAATCCAAACGAACGCAGCGACACGCGGCGAGATCGGAGGCATCGATTTACCATTCTTCGCGAGATCGGCGAGCGCGTGAGTGGCGCGCTTGGCCGCGGATCGGTCCGCTTCGTTCCACGTGAAAGTCGACTCGAGGATGCTCACCTGTTCGGCGACGTCGGAGAGGAGCGCCGCGCGCTCGTCGGCGGTTGGCGGCACCGCTGAGATCTGCCTCTCATCGTGGTGTTCCTGATCGAGCTTCCGCTTCTGCCCCTTCCGCTGGGAGAGGCTCTGATCCTGGCGCCTATGGAGCTCCATGAACAAGAGAAGAAGAAAAGGAAGGTTCCGAGAACAGAGTGTTTGCTCTGTCTGGTAGCAGAGAGGAGGGGGTGAGAAATGCAATTAGAGATTTGAACGGGTGACATATGGAAGGGGTATTTTGGGAAATTAAAAGTAGCAATAAAAAATAAAAAGGAAAAGAAAAAAGAGCACGCACACTCACTTTGAGAATAGAGGTGTCTGGCTTTGAACCGGCCACATCATTTACCGGTCAGGATTGGGGCAAAGGCGAACACTGAACACTGCACTCTTTTTATTTTAAGTAAAAAAATTCAGCACTCATTTTTCTAATGTATATTACAATGAAGCTGATTTTGATTATTTTTGTGTATACTTTTTTAATGTACGTCGGATAGGGTAAAAAAAAATTGAAAAATATGGGTGTTTGTTTAGTTTAAAAGAATACAAATAAATAAATCAAATAGTAATTTATTTGATTAAAATCTACTCTCGAAAATATGTAAATCGATCTAACTCGTAACTGGTATGGCAGAAGTAATAGATTATTGGATCACTAATTCAATATTTAAATTACTTGTGTTAAAACATGTGTGAATTGTTATAAATATACAAAATAGTTAAACAAATGAGTTTTGAAAATCAGTTCTGCTGATACACACGTGTGATAATCAATTATCATTATAGACAATTTATTTGTGTCGATAAAATACGGTATTATTCATTGCTCTACTGTTTTGAAAAAAAAGAAAAAAAAATAGTGTGATGTTAGATGCATATTGTCAGAACTATAAACTAATTCCCCGACTAACTTAAAAAAAAATCAAAAACTTGATTGAAAGGTAAAATATGGAGAAAATTGTTTGCTTTACCAAAATAAAAACTATTTGACTGTAAAATAAAGTTTTTATGAATTATTATTATTACTGATTGTTCATTAATTTTATTAATATTTTTTATTAATTATTATTATTGATATACTTTAAATGTTGGTAATATATTTTTTGGATTGTATTTTATATATATATATATATATTTTTTTTTTTTTATTGTGATAATATTTCATAATAAAATTGTCTTTTTTATTAATGAAATAAATGGCATGATAGTAAACGAGTGCTAATTTTCTTTTTCCTAGGTTTTAACGAAACACGTCCAATTTATAAAATCCATCTCTCGGATGAATCAGTAACAAGTGCTAGTTTATCAACAGTAACAACACGTAGACTCGTACAAGAGAATCTCCTCTTTTTTTTATGGTTTCAAAATCTTATAATCAGGATGATATGATGATGATGCTCGCAGAACAGCTCAATTTCGACTTTGAGACCGCGCTGTATTCCTCTTTAAATCACTTTACTGCGATTGTATAATCCGATGCATTGTTACATAGGAGACAAACTTTGTTTTGTCTTTTCATGTATCCAGCCAAGGTAACATAACTGTATATACTTCACTCTCCTGCACTCTTATTTTTAAGATATGAGTTCCTTTCATACGAAGAAAAACCATGTTGTAGAGTTGTTAGTGGCAAATCGAGGAAAGTGATCGAAATTGAAGGAAAGAGATGCGACTCGATAAGATTCATTCGACGTCTAATTAGAAATACGTAGCATACAGCATCGAGGAGCACAATCGAGAATCGAATGAATAATAGTCAAATGACTGTTGTCGAATAAAAACTAAGTCATATAAGACCAGGGTTAAAAGGAATTGTAAGCAATTCAAAGTTCTCGAAAAATACCGAATCGAGAGTAAAGAAAGCCAACGTGGACATCGAGACTTTGGCCAAATCGTGAAAGGAAGACGAATGCACGTATAAAGAGCAGTTTTGAAATCATGGGAAAAAGTCGGAGATCGTGAGAACGTGGGAAACTACAGAAGATAAAACTGCCATACGCACGTAGAACATGGTAGCAGTCGTGTTAACTGCTCTCGGAAGGCTTGAAGGATGCCCTATAAATAGAGCAAAGGAGGAAGGAACAAGGGGGAGCAAAAATTGGCAGAACACAGAACCAGTAGTGAAAAGTCTACCGGAGAAACGACGAACACCATGAAGCTTCTGGCGGTCTGGATTTCCCTGCTCACGGAGTACGCTTTCTTTATTTTCCTTGGTAATTTACTTTCGAGCAATTTCGATTCAGCAATTTCATGTTTTTGTACTTTACATTCAATGTCATTTCGATTTCCGCATGTGTCGATTTCCTGTTATTTACTTTTCACGCAATCTTAATGGGTTTAGCACTTTACATTGTCTCGCACTTTAAAGATTCCGCTTTTCAGATTTGACGTATTTACTGCTTTCGATACTTTATATTACAAAAATATCAAAAACAGTTTTCAATACATGTAATTGTCGATTCTCATACACGTTGTCGATTGAAAATCAAATTGTTAGCCTAAGTCAGAAAGAGCTTACGTGGTAGAATTTCGATTAGGACTTACTTTAGAATCGAAATCGATCAAAATTCCACCAGAAACAAATTGGCGCGCCAGGTAGGGGGACTTGTATTGAGAAACACAAAATTGGTTAGTTCGAGAGTGTATGAGATTAAGAAGTGGGAGAGTCATGAGTCAGAGTTCATCGAATAACCAGGGTAACAACGAGGGATTAAATGGATCACACCCACCAAACACTGGGGGGCAAAGTCATAATGGGAATATACCTGTAGTATCGACAACTGTAAGCATGTCGATACCTGTGAGTAGTGAACAAAATTCAGGTACATTAGCAAACACCCAAGGAGGATCTAATACGGTGATACCAAATAATATGCAAACTATGGGAAATCTCACAACCACGTATGTAGGCCACGTATGAGTGTAAGACCGCCTGGGTTTTCACTTAATAATGTGAGTGGGGCTGGAACTTCTTCGATGCATAGGAATTCGAGATATAACTTAGGAATGTCTCAAACACTAGGTATGCCACAAAATTTTGGAATCCCTCCGAATTTAGGGTCACAAAACTTAGTAATTCCACAAGATTCAGGGAATGGACAAAATGTAGGCACACAACAGATACCTCCAAATCTAGATCAGAGGGGATACTTAGATCATGGAAAATATGTATTCGATAGAGACTATCATCGATCTAATTTTGATTCTATCGAAAACATGGGTGTCGGAATATCTAGTAATTCATTAGGGGTACTCAGACAACAAATGGATGAGAGTAATTTTGAAATGGTAAATATGTTATCACAACAATTGACTACAGTCTTAAATCCATTAGTGCAAAACACTACTGCTAGCTTTGAGATATTAGCAGACCAAATGTCACAAATCGGGGATGCATTGGCTGTGCATCGACAAACGAGGGTAGAAAATTATGTTAACCAGAATGCTAACGTTAATCCCCCATATCTGTTAAGGAGAAATCGGAACAATGATCAGCAAATAGGAAATGAATATCAACATGTGAGGAATGATATTTATGGAAACCTGAATGAGGGACTTCAAAATATGCGTAATCAAAATAATATGCAATATAATCACATGTTAGGAAAAAGAATGAATATCCAAGGGATGGATTTAAGACCACCCAATCAGACATATTTTGTATCGCCTTTTCCAAATGCGATTCTCGAGACAGAGTTGCCTCGAGGATATAAAGTACCCAAATTCACTAAGTTTGCTGGGGAAGTTGGTGAATCAACTATCGAGCATGTAGCTCGATATCAAATAGAATGTGGAGACTTAGCGATGAGTGAAGAGCTAAAAATGAAATATTTTCCTAGTTCTTTGACTAAGAATGCTTTTACTTGGTTCACTTCATTGCCACCCAATTCGATATACAATTGGTTACAGTTAGAAAGAAATTTCCATGAGCAATTCTTTAGAGGAGAGACTCAAGTAAGTCTCATTGATTTGATGAACATAAAACGATATAATCATGAAAACATAGATGATTATCCGAATCGATTTAGACAAATGAAATCGAGATGTTTCACTCAAATTCCGAATATGAATTAGTTAGGATGGCTTACGCGAGTTTAGAATTCTCGATCAGGAAAAAATTAGTGAATTTGCCATTAAATGACATGGCTCAATTAGTCGATAAAGTGAGAAGAGTGGAGCAAATCAAATATGAGAAACAAAGGTATAAGAAATATGAGAAACCTATGAAAAAGGAAAGGATAGCATACATAAATGATGTATATGAGACAGATAATATGACGAGAAAATGATATTGAAGAAAGCTGTCGATGAGAGAGTAAACTTAGCGAGAACTCAAAGTAGGGGCTCCATATACACTGTAAATTGCTACAAAAGAATGAGATAAAAGATAAAATGGCAAATCGAACATATACTTTTGATGTAACAAAGGCGGACAAAATCTTTGATATTTTATTGAAAGATAAACAGATTAAGTTGAGTGATGATCATAAGCTGCAGTCTGCGAGAACAAAGGAATGGTCGAAAATATTGCAAATTTCATAATGTTTATGGACATTGGACTAACAATTGTATACATTTCGGGAACACCATCCAAGATGCAATTGACCAAGGAAGGTTGAGGTTCGAAGAAATGACAATGAAAGTTGACACTAGTCCATTCGAGGCCCAAGTTGGATACCTCGAATCCCAAACGAGGCATTACCGATGATGTCCGATCAACAAATTCAGCCTTTATAGGCATGGTAGATGTCACTGAAGACATCGATCCTAAGCACGTCGGGGTGGATGTATCGAGGAAGATATGGAATTTGACACTGAGTGAATTCGAGAAAGAGTTCGAAAAGGAAATATACCCTCGATCGGGAGATTCTCTCATTGAATTTTTGAATAGAAAGAAGGAAAAAGACGAAGATGTGTCATTATGCCCACGATGCGGTGCGGTGTTCGATAAATCGGCTGCCCAAGCTTTCGAACGGAACGAGATGAAGAAGATCGAGAACCAAAATAAAAGGAAAAATGACAAAATAGATCAAACAATCCGACCAATGATCGAAGAAAGTCGGAGAAATCCGTTGGTTACGGTGTAAGTGAAAATCATAGACAATGGATTAGAAGGGAGA